AAATTTTAAATTGCGTTGACAGATAAATAAATTACAAAACTTCTAATGTTCGTCATGTTTGAAGCGGAGAGGAGCACTGGTGGCATTAATTGTATTAATCGTCAAGTGCCAAAAAATAATCGATTAACGTTTTTCTGACGATTAATTGCACACGATACGGTTATGGCCAACCCTACTTTGCACAACAGATTTCCTGTTCAGTTTGTTTTTAGTCTAAATTAGTGTCGGATGTAAAACTGTCTGCAGGTCAGAAGGATCTGAAAGTTTMGTTTTTAAGAATTAGGAGGAAAAAAGCAGAAAAACTTTAATGATTCATCTGAATCTGGACATGATTACAGGTAGAATCTGGATTTAAATGAAATGGATAAGTCAGCGTTGATTAATGAATTAGTTTTCAACGCTCAGGTCTTCTACGTCCTTATTTAACCAATCAGATCGTGTCTGATAAGAGTTTATGGAGAAATAACCTACGTGTTGAAATATTGTTCACTTTCTCTTCGCCTGATGATCTTCAGACGATTAASTCAAGCGGTCAGCTGTTATTGAGCGATCTGTCTGTTTGATGAACGAGGTCAGAGGTCAGCGGTGGTCCATAACGGAGCAGAGCGAGGTTATTGTCTCGAGGAATTGATCGCCCTCGCTGCAGATCTTCTCTCCGCGAGGAGGTCTGGTGGTTTGTGGTTAAAACTGAGAAACGTCTGAACTCAACGCCTCGCTGTCTGTTTGGTCTTTAAATCACCAGTCTGTTCTGTTTTCTGTTGTTATTTTGTGACTGTTTTCTATCTGTGTGGAAGTGAAGTGACCCGTGTTGATGTTGGGTTTGGTCCCAGTGGGTCTCTGGTTCTTTAATCTCTGATGTAAAACAGGCGCCCTTTTGACCTGAAGATCTTTGTCTTGATGTGGTTTTTTAAGAGACTTGTAGGAAGACAGAAATGAGTCATTGTGACTGATGAAAGATCAGAGTCTGCATCAGAGCATCACTTTTAAAGATGGTTACAGATTTGTATTCCCAGCTTGATTGAAATTATTGTAGTTATTTTAAATCTTAAGGCTTAAAAAAACATTATTGCACCAAAGTGCAGCTCCTTGAAATGCTTCAAACAAGTTGCTGTTTTCTGTGAGGGGAAATATTGTTTTTTTATTAGATGAACTCGACACTTCTCTGTCCTAAAAGTCAGATTATTTCACAGGTTTGAATATTAAGGTGATGCTAAACAAACAGGATGTTTATTGAAGGGATGTCTGATCCTGACTGTTCAGGCTGCTGTTAGTCTGCTTTTTAAGTTTTGTTTTTTCCACTCTGAATACTTCGGTACACTTTAACTATTCATGTAGCAAAATGGTCTTTCTGGATATGGGTCATTTGACTTTTGGTTTTTTGTAYGTTTTATACTTTTCAGAAGTATTTTTACTTACAACTTCTTACATTCTATAACATCAAGCTGCTTCAGCATACAAGAACTTGCTATTTGCTGCTTTTAGCTGAAATTTTGGTTCTTTTAACTGACATTTTGCTGCTTTTAGCTAACGTTTTGGTACTTGTAGCTGATCCTTTTCTACTTTTACCTGACCTTTTAATATTTTTAGCTAGCCATTGCTGCTTTTAGCTGACCTTTTGGTACATTTGCCTAGGTCTTTGGTATTTTTAACTAGCTCTATCTAGCCTTTTTGTATTTTAAGCTACCCATTTGATACTTTTATCTGACCTCTTGCTACTTTTAGCTAGTCTTTTGACA